GGAGTAGGATTCCTCTGCTGGCCATGGGATTTGAACCGGCAACCTTCTAGCCACAGGCGCAGATCCTGAGCCACAGAGCCACCACACCGCCCCCACCATTATCCTAAATCGCTAAAAGATGTGTGAGAAAAGCAGCATTAATCACTATTTGTTTTCACTAAATAATAATTTGTTGTTTGATTCATTCATCCGGTTGATTCATTGCTTAGCTTATGCATGTTTTTTATTGCTTTTAATCCCCTTTTTGTCCTCCAGACAATGAAACTGTTTATGTTTATAGGAGGGCAGTGCAGTGGTGAACTTTAAAGACAGTAAGCATGACGATCTCACGGAATGTATACAAACTAAAAACTAGAGTATTCCTGACATCTGAATTTCCACCTCATGAGATTTGCAGATGACTAAGCAGGACATTGCTGCCTGGCAGAGCTGGGGCCCCTGGTCCGGTTCCAGACCTGGGGTGCTGTCTGTGAGGAGTGTGGACAGTATGTCCCCGTGTTAGCGGGGGCTGGCTGTGGGTGCTCTGGCTAGTGCTGTGAGTGTGGCCATGCCTGTGTGTGGCCTGCGACCCAGGATGTATCCTGCCTTCCATCTGTTGCTTGCTGGGATAGACCCCACCTCCCCCGGGACACGAATTGGAAGAAACGGTTAGAGAATAGAGGGTGTTTGAACTTCTTTTAGTCATTTGCATACATCATGAGGTGGAAATTCAGATATCGGGAATAGTCTAGTGTTTTATTTGTCTAGAATCCGATTGTCATGCTCACTGATTTTAAAGTTTTCTTTGTCATGTTACGTGATATGACAACACAGTCTTTTTCAAGCTGACTACACACGGGCTCGAATGTTTTTCTTGTTGTCGTTGAGTTTCGGGATCGGCAGCTCCAACCCCTGCGTGACCCCTGGTCTTAATTGCTTGATTGAAGTAGCTGTTTGGATGAAAGCTCCAGCTCCTCTGTCAAACCTGCAGGACGGCTGGACTTCTCCGTCCCCGTTTAAGGTAACGAAGCCAGTGCCAGCGGAAAGTGTCGTCGGATCAATCACTGTCCCGGCACTTCTGAACTGTTACGGAGTCGCTGTTCCAGTGGTGTGGGTTTTCAGGACCAAAGGCGCTCAGCGGTGATATGCTCCTGTTGGGGTGCAGGGAGTGAACTGTCTTCCATTTACTCCCTTTACAGTGTCCAGCGTCTGGTGTCCTTCTTCACATTATGATTTGTGTGATTTTTTTTTTTCTTCCCCCCATAAGTGGTTAATTTGTGGGCCCACATACTGCCTATGGGATTCCATCATGACAGCTGTTGTGGTCACTAACATGGCCCAGATTGACAGACTGAAGTCATTAATTGGAATACAAGTGTCTCAGCACTGCATTTTGTTAAGGTATGTTTAAAATCAAGACTTGCTGTCATTAAATTCGGGGCCAGGCTGAGATCGTGGTGAACAGGGTTGGGGGGGGTGATAAATAATAAATCACACATTAAAGCTAACATTAAATTAATGCATTATGCATTGGTGCTTTATTTTTGCACCAGGCAAGTTATATTTTTCCTTCTTCAGTGGGCCGGAAAGATTTTTAAAGAGATTAAAGCGAAAGAGCCCAAGAACAAGTCTTATAAGTTAATTTTTCATAGCACTGCAGCATTAAGTATAATTTTAAAGACCATGGCTCATTAATGAGCAACAACACATTTTCAAGCAGCCTGCTTGGAAATTCAAACAGTGTGGTTTTATTGAGTTTCTGATCATTTCAGCCACTGTTTCTCAAATGTGGCCAGCAGCGTTTCTTTTGCAGCCACAGTGTATAATTGGTATCTCACTAAATCTCCTAATCAACCTTTCCATTTAGTCTTTTAAGCAGCTGGGCTCAAATTCGGTTTGCTTAATTGCTGTTATTGTTTTTCAGCTGCCATCTAATTCCTCTCGTGCTTTCCTTTGTGAGATCCACAGTTAGTTCCTATGAACACCAGCTTTAAACAACGCACGTCGAATGATCAAATTTCCCTTTAGCACAGCTTCCACTATGTTAATTGGCTTAGTGTACAGATTGCTTCTCTCCGATTCTGGGCTCTGTATTTGTTTGACACTAGAGTGCCTCTATTTACTCCACGGCTACACATGGCATAATTGATTTTCAGAACCCCTTATTAAGTGAACTGATTTTGCTCATTGCTTTCCAACTATTTGAAGTGGTTTTCATTTTACAGAGATTGTAATTTGAAATTGTATGAGCGATCATGAATTTGTATGATCTTTTCAGACTAAGAATTTCAGCTGAGATGTAGGATTTGTTTGAA